TGTTAGCCAGGCACGGGTGAAAGGTCAATATAATAAATATATATAAATGTATAATGTGAGATTTAAGCTATTTAGTCTGAACATTTATGTTTTCGTGTTATAATTTGTGTTCATTCTAGAATGAAAGACATAATTTATATTTATTTCCTAATTTTTTATGGTTGTTGCGAGATCGGTCAAATCTACCGAACCAGTACAGATATTAATTACTGAAAATAACAGATAAAATATAAAGTTTTTTCTTAAGAAATGTTTTAGAATTATCTTGACATTATAAAGATTTAGCATGTGAAATTTCAAAGTTTTCTGATGCATAAAAGTATTTTTAGTCTTTAAATTAATATTACTTTGCATGATAGGTAGGCAACATGTGAAAAGAAAAAATAGACATGAGAAAAACATTGCTTTACAAACCTTAAGACTTAATAAAAAAAAAATACTGATATTTTGTGTATGAAAGCATTGTAATGTTTACTGATAATCTGCCAAATTTCATTAACATTCGATCACTAATTTAAAAGTTATAGCATGAAAACAAGCACAAAATGGTTATGAGGTCAGTCCCAGGGACCAAGCCCATGCTGAAAAGAGTTAACCTTACTAAGGCTATCTCAGGATAAATCTCATTATGCTCCAGAAATTTACTAACAGTAAGATTTCAAAGGTATACCAAAACATGAATTTTTATGATAAAACTAAGAAAAGCCCCCAACCATTAAAATGTTAAACACCTTAGTTATATCATAATCATCGTCTTCAGTAAGAAAATTGCAAGCTCTCATAATTAGTCTTCAAAAAAACATTACAAACATTTCAGCACTCTAGCAATATATTCCTCTCACCAATAAGATTCTCATTTAAATCTTAGTTATCTTAACTTCCAAAAAGTTTTAGATGAGGTTCCTCACAATAGTTTAAATAGTAAGTTATATGCTGATAGAATTGGGGGAAACTCAAAAGGGAAAATTAACTATTGGCTTGAAATTAAAAAATGGAGGGTTGTAATAAATGGACATCATTCCAATTGTAAAAATATGACTTAAGGGGTCTTTCAAGGATTTATCATGGCACAGTTGTTGTTTAATACCAATATTAATAATATAAGTCACTGTATAAGTAATAGGTCCAGGCTGGTTTATTAGTCAAAGTGATTTTCTTCATTAGGATTATCATATTGTGGAATGGTTTGCTAGATGTTATTAGAACCTTCTAAGATTTTCTCATTGTTTTGATCAAGTATTGTTACATCATAATATCTCGTAGTGTATAGAAAGTTCTAGGCCTCATTTGGCTATTTATAAATATGCATCCAAAATGTAGTTCAAGTTCAGTGAAAGCAAGTTAGTTAGAGATATAGTTAAATAGATCTAGACTGTGTGAAATTATCACAGATTGTATTGTAGTAACACAGTATAGAAGAATAATTTGTCTTGTCAGTTGTTTCTAAAGTAATTGAACAAACCTGTGTGGACTTTTGACAAAAAGAGACAATGTTTCAAAGCTCTGGATACAACTGTGGTAACCAACAGTTATAGTAGTGGTTTTAAAGAGAAATTATTGTAATAACAGAGCAGAAAGAATAATTCATCTTGTCAACTTGTCCTAAAGTAACTGAGCCAGCCTGTGAGGAGTATGATCAAAAGGGATAAATATTTAAAGCTATGGATACAAATGTGATAGCCACCAGTGTAATGAACATTTGTATATACATTTGACTTGTTTTAATACATCATTTTAAAACAAGTGGACTGTGTGCTGTTTGTTTATTGCTGAAATTTACCACCAACAATTCACAGATACCTACTGTAAAGAATCTGCCCCATACATATGCATACCTGACATACAGGTGCTTATTTACCCTTTACAGATCAGGAGAGTATCACTGATATTCCTTAATTGGTTCCTTTTGACAGTGAAAGTATTTAACTAAATTATCTGAAAATTAGTATCAACTTACTGGAATTGTATTTAGTTTTAACTTTAGAAAATTCATATAATTTAATTTTTCCCCTTTTATGTTCTGAAATGTCCAAAATTTTGTTGTAAAACAGAGTTTTGAAAAAAGAAAATTAAAAATATTTCCTTTAAGTTTTCTTAAAGATTGATCAAGAAATTTCGTTAATCATATTCTCAACTCATGAAAAACCCACTTGATTGTAGAAGACAGCAAAGACTTGATGGTTATTTCAGTGGAATGGCTTAATCTTGAACAATTCAACTCTAAACATGATTTTTTTAATCTTCACTGCTGTAGATAAGTGCAACTTCTGGATTTAAACATGTATAATAACTTCATATAAGATGCATGATATTAGTGTTGTTTAGAGCATAATGCTGACAAATATATGGTTCAGGGAAACCTAATTTTGACATCTATCACATTTAAGCTAAAAGGTCATTGGGTTACATTCACATGATTAAAAGTGTTTATCTTGGCATAATGGCAAGATTTGATACATTTTGTGCACACAAACAGGAGATAAACATAGAACCTAAATTTTTTGGGTTATGCATTTCCAAATGCATAGTCAGAAAAGTTAGTGTAACTACTGGTAAAGTAGATAAAGATCAGGGATTTTGGAAACCAGCAGACAACATTTCTAAAATTTTCATAGCAGCATACTTATTGTGCCGACCAGTGAACTTACAGTTTTGGTCAACATCACAATGTACTAAAGAATGTCATGATATATTAGCAAGGTTCTACAAAACTTCCCCATTGAAAGTTCAGGACTCTCACCTAGAAATAAACTAAAAGTCACAGGAGAAATGTGGGGATCCCAATAGTTTTGTTGTTAACTGCAATCAATCAACACAAGATATTAAAAATTTGATGAATTCTTGCAATTCAAATAATGGGGTATGAATAAAAAACATTTACTATAAAAAATTTCTGTTGATTTTTTTTTTGAATGGATAACGTGCAACACAAACCTACTGTTAAAAGTGCCTTTAACATTGAGCTAAGCAAATTGGAGTTTGTAGTTCTGTTATTTAGAAATAAACTTTAAGTGTTACATATACTGTAGTGTATTTGTATATTATTAATTCCATTTATACGTACCTTAAGATGTATGTATGTGTGTGTGTGTGTTGCACAGTTTTTTTGTTTTTATGACTAACTGTTGATCTAGCTTATACTTGTATGTGGGTCACTCAGAAAAAAAATCTTTAAAATCTAACCCTAACATAATAATAGTATAAAACACTTTGCATTTCTATGATATAGATAATAGAGAGTTTGTTTGAGAAGGGGAGTGGAAAAGTTGGGGAACACGTACTCAAATATTAGAAATAAAAAACAGTTTAAGTTTTGAAGATGAAGATAAAGATTTATTTTTTGTCTAAACTTTCCTCTTAAGAGTTATAAGTTTGTGGAATAATATTAATAAAGAATAAACTAACACATCTAAATGAAAACTTTTTGTAGTTTATCTTCTGTCACATTTCGAGCAGGTGCCTTTCGTCAAGCAGTAAAATCTGTGATAACATGGTCTTTACTGCCTGACAAAGGGTGTCTGTTCAAAACATCACAAAAAATAAACTAGAAAAAATTTTCATTATTCTTTATTATCATTTATCTAAGATTTTCTTCTTGTGTCTTGCAGAACAATCTTTCAAGAGCTTGTGGATTGACTTGCGTATAATATTGCATGTTTGTGTTGTAAAATACACTTCAGATAGAAAGTTGTCTTCTCAAATCTTGAAATACTATTTGCTCAGAACAATGATGCCAGAGAACACGTGTGAGCAATGGCTCCCACAATGGCGGATTTCTAAAATTAACATACATATTTATTACAGCTGTTAGATTAATTTTTTCGGTTAAGTAGGTTGATTTTTCTTGCATTTTTGTTGAGTGAATACATGAATATCATGGAAATCACTGGCCCCATTTTAGTTTAGTAACTCTTTGAAGATAAATGCATGGTAATCTTGATTGCTCAAATGTTTTGTTACTTTGTTTATTGTTATATTCTTATCTTTTCAAGTTCAGAAATGCTTAACCCACCCTTGCTGAATGGAACCACCTTCATACCATGGATTGCCCCACACCTCATACCAAAAAAACATATTAAGTATTAATAGATTGTTAATTTATCCTATGTGTGCATTTAAAGTAAACAACTTGTGAACAATTCCAAAGAATATTGTTCATTTTTGTATATTTTGGTAGTGTTAACAAAAGAATAATGGAAAATATCACATATTGATGCTCGATATGACTTTATTTACAAAAAAATACATGATTAAAAGTAGAATTATTATTATTTTTTAATCTAAGCATCTTCTTGGGAATTATTTTGAACTAAAAATATCATTGATTGAGCAATATCAATGAAAATGATAAATAATAGAGAGATAATAAATCCCGGAAAACATGCCATGGTTTATTATTAAGGGGTATTTTTGCTCCCCAAACCACAAGAAACCACCTGTTGCTCTCAGCTCAGCTGGGGTAGAAATGGGAGGAGTTAGGTGAGTACTCTATCATCTGTTTTAGGGAGCTATCAGGAAACAGCAAAAGCATGAGTGCTTCTACCTGTTTGTGAGATTGTTTACAAAACGTTTGGGTTAGAAAAAAACGCAAGATACGAATGTAGGATTAATAATGTGTGTGTATCATTTTGTTTTCCTATTTATAATATAATTATTAGTATCAAACAATCTTGTTTAAATAAATGATTAATAACAAGCTGAAGCTGTAAACATAAATGCATTTATTCTATCTTCAATCAATATCTACCAAGACATTTATAGACGACATAAAAATTATTTCTACTTTATTTAAAATATGTTTGTCATATCTTAAAAAATACAGAATATCTAAAACAGAATGTGCATCTTTTAATGATTTGAACATTTACATGTATTTTCTGAATATTAGATGTGTCAGCTGTGTGTTTGTTTTTCTTAAGGTGTATTTGTGCTTAGTTTCAAACTTTGACATAACTTTTATTAATGAAATTTGCTGAAAGCTCTTTTTTTTTTTAATAAAGATCCAAGGACAACCAACTGGATTCTGATTGACTCTTTCCTTCCGTCTGCTCTAATCATGATTAGTTACTTAATATTTATCCATGTGGGATCAAAAGTCATGAAACATCGATCACCGTTGCAGTTAAGGTGGTTACTTGTTCCATACAACTTTGCTCTTGTGTTGATGTCAGCTTATCTGTGTATTCAAGTAAGTTTAATAAGCACATGAAAGCAACATCCAAATTGTTAACAATTCTAGTCTTTTAGATAGCACATTATACTATATAAATATCCATTGAACTATCTGTACTGTGTATGGTTTTTACAGTCCTAATGTAGTTGCAGTGTCGTTATATGAAATGTAGTGTAAATTTGCACAATTTATAATCAGTGTTGAGATTTATTGGAAGATATTTAAAATTTCAAAATAAAAAAATTCAATATTTTATTAAACATATAGTCCATAAAATATTAGTATGCATATTAATCTACTGTAGAATAATTTCATGTAAAAAAATTACAAATTTGATTTAAAAAGTGAAACTTGTACATTAATTTTTTATATTTAATTTAAAATAAAGCAGTTATGATAATACAAACTAGAACATTAAAACCTTTCATTCTGATATGATAATTTAACACCTCTGATTACAAAATAGCTTTCCCTGATTTGACTGCCCTCTATATGTGCAAATTTTCACTCGCTACTGGTTTTTATGCTCCCACCTACCTCCACATGGTATAGCTATATTGTAGCATGAAAGTAAGCATGTGACAACCCTTCACCAATAGGAATGTGACACACCCTCCTAGCACAGCTGACTCCCTCTATGCAGTAGAATCCACTCTTCACTTTTCTATTTTTTTTAATTCGAATTTATTAATTTCCATTTACTGTATTTTTCATGCAGTTTCATTACTGCTTCACTTTGATTTGCTTTCATCTATTTCGCATGGAGTGTTCTTTAACTCAGGGGAATTAACATGAATTCACAGTTTCAAGTCACAACCACTATTGCTTCAGACACTACTGGTGAACAATGGCCTATTACAAAGGCTTCAGTTTCAACATTATCGGCTGAGGATGATTCAGCCTTTATCTGCCAGGAGATGGCTTCCTTCGTGTAGGTCAAAGGCTCTCCTGTAGATCAACCACTTCTCCCCTCTTCAGGGGAGCTGGAACAGGATGGTGACGATTTGGACAGCTTTTTTCCTCCCTGTTCAGTGTAGTCTCATTTTCAAACTGTGTACTTGCCACTACCTTCTCCTTTTCTACAGTTAGTATTACAGGTATATTATGTTTTGTCTTTTTCTCCTATTTCCCATTACCCGTCCCCTTCCCTATTGACCAATGCACCAACCACCAGTTATATTTTGTCTTTACTCCTTTACTTCATATTGGAGTCCATGCTGAGCATTTCATCCATCAATTGCATTTGGGGGTCAGTGTGCAGTGCCCCCCATGTGCAGCTGAGGTTCATGCATTAGCATACCATCATTCAGGAAATCCTTTTCTTGACACGCAACAATTGGATTTGCATTTCCCCTTTAAGGTTCTGGTCCTGATACCTCTGTGCACTTTTTACAGGAACAGTACTCCAACCTTAACATCTACGTTACCTTTCTTTCATACACCTTTTATCTGAGGTTATCCGTTATTCCACTGAGGGATTTTCTTTGGATGCTTGTCCTCCTCTGCCTTGTCCCCCCACAAATGGCTCCTTTGTTGTTGGGACCTCTAAGGTAGCTTTTTTAACTCATTTGCATCTCCCTCCTACATCTTTGTGAAGTCTATGCATGGGCTCCATTTTACAGCAAACAGTTTTTGGTGTCTTCCTGACTCATTGGAGTCAAGAGTGGAATCCACCCATTTACATACTTCCCTCTCCTCCCTGACCACACATTTGTTGCAAACTTACCTAGGTCCTGTTCCTGTATCCTACCACTCCTTCCTGTTCCTTTACCCTGTATTATTGTTCACTACTGACCCATATACTGCTAGTGGTACCAGTGACTATTCCATAGGATCAGGTCCAGTATGGACCTGACTGCTTCTTTCTGCAGGTATTTGGGAGACATTTACCATAGATCCATGGGTTCTTCAGGTCTTATCAGAAGGACTTTCCCTTCATTTCCTTTCAGTTCCTCCTCTATTACATTTTCACCAGTCTGAATCATTATATTGAAGTTCCTTGGCTCACCATGGAGTCTATATTATCTCTTCAATAGGCTTTTAATCCAGGCCTTTGGATGATGAAGAACAACGTGTCCAATGCCTACCTTCATATCCCCATTTCCCCTGCAACCCATTGTTATCTTTGCTTTGTCCACAAAGAATGTGTAAATTTGTTCCTGGCTCTCCCTTTTGGGCTGGCATTGGTTCCCTATGTTTTTGTCAGTGGTCAATGCCCAACTTCTTCATTTGCACAGACTATGTTTCAATCACTAATGGACAGCTGGCTCCTTCTAGCTCCTTTGCTTTTGGCTTCTTCCATCAACATGCAGTTTCTTCTTAGGGAAGCTGCTTGGGTGGGTTGACTGGTCAAGCTGGAGAAGTCTGTTCTCATGCCCACTCAACATCTCATTCACCTTGAGGTATTCTTTAATTCCCACCTCAGTCAGGCCCAGCTTCTCACCTTTGCCTGTGTTCCATGGAGCTTATGATTCAGAAGGTTCAGTCCTCACTTTTTCCACCTGTCCAAGAAGTTCTTTCTCTTTTGGGACTTGGACTTCCTTGGAGGCCCTTATTTCTTTTGGTTGTCCTCACTTGCATTCTCTTCAGTGGGTACTTCACAATTAATGGAACCTCACCACAGATCGCCTGTATTACTTGGTATCCCTTCCTTCTAGACTGATTTTGCCTGGTGGCTGGACAGGGACAACACAGTGGCTGATGTCCATCTTCTTCCTCCATGACCAGAGGTGCATATTTTTATAGATGCTTCACTGCCAGGCTGGGTGGCATATTGTGACACCCAAAAGATCTTGGGCTGTTTGTTGGGCAATGGCTCATTTGAGGAGCTAAACAGTAATAATCCATTCTGACAACTCAATGGTTTCTCTTACATCACTAAGCAAGAAGGCATTCAGTTCTATTTCCTATGTTTTCACACATTAGATATGCTGTTTGGGCCCACAGCCTTTGCATTCATTTGTTGGCTTGTGTCGTTGCAGATTGATTATCCCATTCCAACAAGATTCTCACCACGGAGTGGCCCATTGACCATCAGGTTTTTAAATGGCTACATTCTCAGTTGGGTACTTCCTAGCAGGACACTTTTTCACCCACCTGAATACAAAATTCTCTCTATTTTGATCCTCTGTTCTTCATCCTTCAGTTTTAGCAATAGATGTCCTCAGTCAAGATTGGATGGGCCTCTACATTTCAGCCTATCCTGCATTTGTATTCTTCCCAGCATCCTATCCATTATCCAAATCACTCCTTGTTGAGTCCTTCTAGTGGTTCTATTCTTGCCAGCTCAACCTTGGTTCCCACTACTCCTCCCTTTTCAGTTGTCACCACCATTACCTTTACCTCTTCTTCTCACCCCTTCCCTCCTCTGTCAACCTCATTTGGCAGTGCTTCATCTGTCCATCCCTCCACTTTGGCTCTAAACATGACTTTCGTCCAGTCCCTTGCAAGAGGTTCTGGACTTTTCACCTGGGTAGCATCCCTTCTTTCCTACTCTGTCTGCCCCTATTCCATGTCAGTGTACCAGTGTAAATGGCATATTTTTTGCTGTTGATTTCTCTGTCAGGGACTCCTTCCTTTCCATCCATCATCTGTCCCAACTTTTTACTTGGGTTTTTGACATTGGTCTTTGTTTTGATCATTGCCTGTTATAGACCAGTGTTGTTCTCTACCTTTCATTTTTTCCATTTCCACCAGGTATTTTCCTCCTGTTATTTCCCTCTCATTTCATTCCTTTTGTTTCCATCGTCTGCCTCAGCCCACATTCTTATTGGATTGGGATCGTAATGCATGCCCTTTCTCTCCCTTCGTTCAAACCATTGACTTCCTGTTCTACATATATAACGTATCCTTAAATAGCTTTTTCCTCCTGTTCACCTATGGACGTGAATGGTTGGATGTGTTTGTCCTTGATGTCTCCCATATCTTTTACCACAAAACCTATGTTCTCCTTTATCCTCATTGTAAACCTTTATCCTCTCTAAAACCTCCACTGCACATGAAGGTAATGTTGGCTTCCTTCGATTTCCCATCTTATTCCCATATTGATCTCAAATGTCTCCATTGTCCAGTCAGGGCTCTGGACAATTTGTGCATGTCATTTTTTACATATAAAGTTACATCCTGCTTTATCAGTTGGGGTAATAATAAATTGTGCTTGAACTTTTTTTATTTTATCTTTGAAGATATTGGAAGAAATCTTTATTTTATATATATATATAGATAGATTTAAAATTTTAATCAATTTTTCTATGGGATTGATGAAATATAATCTCCCAAAAAAGAAACATGGAGAATAGTAAGTTTCTTGCTTCTTTTGATAATATAGTTATCAAAATTTTTTTTTAAATCTTTTAAGATTTCACTTTTTTAGTCTTTTTTAAGATTCTAGATTTAGTGCCTTTCTCCAATATTGATTGTTATTCCTTGCTCTTGATAATCTCTAAATTACATGTAACTATATGATTGTGAAAAGGGTCCTTAAATTCATTATTGTTACAGCTACAAGGCCATTTATCAACTTTTATTGGATTAAATTCTGAAATGAATTTTTCATAGTTGAAAATAAGAGGTTTATTATATTTTAAACTAACTATAGGCTTAATATATTTAATGGGGAAAATGTTCCCTTGAACACTTTAATAGATTAAGAAAGGTAGAGGTAAGCCATTGTATAACTTATGTTTAAAACCTATAACCATATAGGATTTTTCTTTATTAAAGGGTTATTTTTGGTATTTGATTCCATTTTAATCTAAATTTTAATTATATCTTTGATATGCATACGTTTAAATTCAAAATTTAACATATATTTTGACAAATACCTGAGTTTTGTATCTTTTAAATCAAATAATTGTTTTATTATAAATTTTACCAATAGCAGAGTTTAGGTTTTTACAAAACTTTTGAAAATCAATCCATTTTTTTCTATTTTTACTTTTACCCCTATACTTATTTTGTTTATTACAACAAATATTTATCTGAAACATACAGATATTTGTATGAAAATCTTGATTTAATCAATAAGGATAGAGAGATAAAGCATTCTTCTCTTTCTATTGACAGCTTTTCATTTTATATTTTTTCAAATATAGCAATTTTTACATTATTAAATGAATGTTTGTTAAAATGATCTATTTCAGTCGATTGAGGAAAACCCTTATTACTTTGAGATCTATGTAAGTTGATCCTTAGTTGTTTGTTCTACGTATTTAAGACCACGTATACCACAAGTTAGTAAATAAATTATATTATCCATTTTACATAGTGGTGTATCTTGCAGTACATGTTGAAAATCTTTCAATCTTTCTCTCTCTCTCTCTCTCTCTCTCTATATATATATATATATCTTATTATTTTTTCATATATTAATGACTTTAATTGTAGATACTCAGTGCAGCTTATGAGGCTCGCTACAGTGTTGTTTGCCAGGCAGTGGAGTCTTCAGAACATCCTCGAGTTATGAAGGTAAGATAAAAATAGGTGTATTATTTTAGCTGTTATTCTAGAGTTGAAAAGAAAACAAAAAATATAAAGAACATTATGTGATAAGCAAGCATGCAATTTGATGGTAAATCTGTAGGAGGAAACTTAAGTGTTTTATTCTCAAGGTTTGTGGAAAAGGGCTCCCAGAATGATACTTGGTTTAAGATATTTCCCTCCATATATAAGAAGCTTAAACCTTGTTTCATTGTTGCAAAATATTTGGAACATTGAATATTCTAACTATGTGTGAAACATTAGGCATACGTCATTTCAATATAATGTCCACTTACCTACAAAAAATTAACATACGTTGTTAAAACAAGGGAAGAGATGTAACAACAGGAAAATGCACGAACAGACATGTCTTTTCAGAACTTATTTTCACTATATTTTCAGCTGTATATGTATTTATTTTCTTATGTGTTTATATATTAAAATATTTTCAAGGTGTTAAATCAGTGTCACCTTTGAAATAACAGACAATTTCACTCTTCCATAAATAGTTGAAAGTATATTCACATAGTTTTACTAAAGTTCCACAAATGTGTTTTTTATGTAGTTATGACATCCATGTTAACCTGATGAAGATAGGCCCAACTGTACTAATCCTTTTAACTATTAAAAGATTTCATGCATCAACTCAAGCTTTAAGCTATATTATATCATATGTATGCTTCTGTTTGCCTATTCAAATATGATACAGAAACTGCACAAACTGTCTTAACTTTCTCACTACAGGCTCAGTCCCACAGACTGACCTCATAACTATTATGACTGTGCTTATTATAGTTTTCATGCTACAACTGTTAGTACAATAAGCATAACTTCACTGACTTTTGCACTTTATCGGTAAACATTTCAAAGCTTTTGTATACAAAATATCAGATTTTTGTATCAAGCTTTACGATTAAGTAATGATTTGCTCATGCATTTTTTTCTTTTTGAATGTTGACTATCCAACATGAATGTTGACTAGGTTTGATCAATTTGACTGACCTGGTAACCACCATAAAAAAGTAGAAAACAGATATAAGTTATGCCATTTTCATTCTAGAATGACTACAAATTATGATATGAAAACACAAATATTTAGTCTAAATAGCTTAAATCTCGTAACATTTTACATCTATATATACTTATTAGTTTTATTTTATTGATCATTCAGCCATGCTTGGCTAACATTACACAAGTTGCAATGATTTGATGCACGTGCACCCATGTTACCATATACAAGAATATATAATTGGCCTTTACAAAGTGACCTGTCTTGGCTGTGTTCTAGTGGACCAGTATTTTGTAAAATACACTCACCTTTCAGTTATTAAACATTATACAAGTATATATATTATTACTATTTACAAATAACTTCTTAAATTTCAATTATTTTTCTTAAAACATAGAACAGTAAATAAAGAAGTATAGAAAACAATGATCTCTTCTAGTTATGGGCTCTGTACTCATTTGCTGCTTGCCGTAAGTTGCTAAGCCTTATCAAATTTTGCATGTGGATTATGTCAAACAAAATTATTTTTTAGTTTATTATATATATATATATATATATATTTGAATAATTAAAAATCATAAATTACTACATCAAATACTACAGAATTCCACTATAATTTATCAAACTTAGTAACTAAGCCATATTTGGGTGTAAAAAAATTATGATTTTTCAAACTCACTAATGTCTTATCTTACTACTTGGAATCTAGCATGAAAAGAAAGAGTTTCCTGCACAAATACGTCTCAGAGTCTGAGAAAAACCACTAGGGGGACATTCTGAGCTTTTGTTTGGTTATACACACATCATCGGGTGAAGTAGGTGTACATAATAACGTTTTTTTAAAAAATGGAAAAGGTGGGCGAGGCCACCATGGTTGATTCAATAAATATATTAATTTTTCAGAAAATATAAAAGATAGGAGGTGGGTTCTTATCTTACATTCTAGCTTGTCAATATTGATAATTTGTAAGAAACTATTGACTTTGGTATTTGAACGTCACGAACATCTAATCTGAACCAATGCTGCATTCAACGTATCACGTGACACACAAAAATCGATATTTAGGATAATTTTTAATATTTACTTTTTAATTTAGAAACTAACTAATTTATAATACTGAAATTTAAATTATAATCTGCAGTTTGATATCAAACTTATAGACATAAATTCATAAAATAGTGGTTCAATAAAATTTTGAATGTGATGACATGACCTTTGACCTGTGACCATAGGAAGACCCGTGTCAGTAGGGTTAAGATGGTTAGAAGAATGTATAGAATAATTGAAGCCTAAAATCTAGGAAACTGCTGTGGAATACCAAATGGATTGTTGTTTTTTTATTTTTCCTCTGCAGTCCATTTTCACTTTACTCCCAGCATTACGTGTGATAACTCTTGAAAACACGGTAATACCAAACAAACCTCTTTAATACAGACTTTTTGGGATTTCCTTAAATTCTATCACCAGTTTTAATATCTCAAAAAATTTAACAAGTTTTCGTATTCGATCGAAAGTTTAGAAAGAAATTTCAACAGTAACAATATAATGGAATATACAATAAAATGTGCACCATATACATATCTAATAAATAACATTGTTAAGAAAAACTCTCTGTAGCTTAACAAGCCAATAAATTCTTCCCCAATTTCACAGTTGCCATCTACAAAGCAGAGACATATTGGTAAATGTTTCACGTTGATAGAAGACACTTCATCAGCAAGAACAAATAGAATCCAGCCTTTTTTAATTTGTCAGTAATTTTTACTTAAATTACATCTTATCCAATAACATTGATTATGGCTCCTTTTTTGTGAGTGGGGTATTATAAATGAGCTCTCAGTATTTCATCCTTTTCAGCTAGGCCAGAAAATTGCCAGGAATTTTTGGAAGAATTTACATCTTCGGTATCACCACGAAATGCCAATCTTTGTATTCCTAAAAAGAAAATGGCACAAACAATTTGATTAAGAACATGTTTATTCTGAGTTGTACAGGATTGAAGGGCACTGTTGGTAATAATATCAATTCTACTGTATGGTGGATATTCAATGGAAGCCTTCAAAGCATCAACAGCCTGCATAAAATCACGATGATAAACAAGCTTAGAATGGTTGCTTAAAGTATCACTAGTTTTTACCCATTTGTGAAATGATTTGTTGACAAGTGCTACCTTATCACATCGACTATGCACTGGCAGAAGGGTAGCACAAGGACTACAAAAAATGCTATCCTATTTTGGGCTGTACAATAACCATGGTTATTTTTCAAGCCATTTTAAACTTGCAATTACACCCTTGATAAAAGGTAGTAGGAAAAACTTTTGATGGAATACTTTTCAGCATTTCATAGATTACTAATAGCTTGGAATTTTTCATAAAGCGATTTTGTTGGTGTCATTAAATTGCCAGTGTCATTGCATAGCTAAGTGACTACAGAAATACCATGACAAATCACTGAGGAAACCATGATTTCTGTAGTGCAGTTCAATGATGATTGTCCATGATGGTTGTCAATGCTTGAAGCATTTTGAGGTTCAAATAATTCAGTTTGCATCTCATCAGTGTCATCACCACAAGATTATAGCTCAATGGTGTCAACCTGACAAGCTTCTCATCCATTGCAGGCTGAGGTGATGGCTGTGTTGTGTCGTTAGTAGTGTCTGAAAGCAAAAATATATAGCAATTTTATAAAGGTGACCAGTATATAACTTTAACATGACAGTGTACTGTATATGATACATAAAATATATAGTAAAGATTATTGTTGTACTCATCTATATGTAGATGAACTATAATAATTCATGGATTAAACAAACTTTTTAATTTTAAACAAAAGACAAAAGGAATAGCACAACATAAGATAATTATTCTAATTGCATGTAAAAAGCTGTATTAGCTACTAAAGCAGCAAAGCTACGTAGTACTGTATCTTGGTAGTCATGTGTTAATCCTTTCCTTTTACTGACAAAAACACTTGTATATTGCTGCAATCAGTTTCACATAGGCACTTAATTCTGTTCAGTGAGAAGTGTTGAAGATCTGGCTTATATATCGTATACTGTGTAGTCTCGCAAGCCAGACTTTTACTCGTATAACGGGTAATTGTTAAATGGGTTTATGATTAGTACACTTCTCAGCTCCTTCTTGTACAAAAATGCTTAAATCTCAAACCCACAATCACTTTATAGTTATATTTCTGTGACATGACAAAACTTGCTTCTGCTCAAAACCACATGTAGCTTTAGACATACATAACAGTTTAAGTTTAATATGAAGGTTATGATATAGATAGTTTGTATAACACAGGTATCGTACATAGTTATTTTTAGAAGCTAGAGTTTATGGCAAGTTTGTTGACATGATGGTTTACGATTCATACGTTGTGTGGTGTGTAAATTCAATTTTTATGAGTTAGCAATTGTTATATTGTTGCGTCATGTTACTAGACCTTTCTGAATTTTTCAGGTTTTTTTCTTTTTTTTTAATTGAGTATTATTGCATCAGAAGGTCTAGTATGCATAGAATGTTCTTGACTTCTGTCAGGGTATAAATGTGCATCAAAAGATTATTTAGATCTAGTCTGTGTGATGTGACTTTAGTGATAAAGAACATATATTGGTGATTTTTAAAGTGAAGTTATCACAGACTGTGTTGTAATAACAACAGAGAAGAATATTTATTCTTATCAATTGCATTCTAAAGTAATTGAACCACTCTGTGTGGATAAAAAAAGAAACAATTATTTAAAGCTCTGGATACAACTGTGATAACCATCAGTGTAACAAACATTTGTATACATGTTTGACTTGTTTTAATATATTATTTTAAAACAAGTGGACTGTGTTGTTGTTTGTTTATTGTAGAAATTTATCCCAACAAATCACTCTCACCTACTATAAAGAATCCGGCCTACAAAACCTCACAGTAGTGATACGGCTTTGAGCTTCCAATTACAAAGTGACAACGGAGTGTATTGTGTTCAACTATTTCAAGCCAAAAAAATGCTAATGCTTCATCAGAAAAATGTAGACTATGTAGAAAATGCAAAATATCATAAGCAGCTGTGCTATAACTGTAAGCATTTTTTTTTACATCAAAAAATAGGGGGTTTGGCTGGAAACCCCCCTCCCCTACATATAAGACTGATATTTAACGTTAAAATTGTAATAAAAGAACTGACCACTTCAATATCAAAATTGCATATAAAGTAAAAATTACACAGTGCTTACGTTAATGCAACTTCTGGGTTACTATGATTTTAAAAAGTACAATATAGAAAAAAGTATTAAAGTTTGAATTTTAATTTCTTACAATTAATGCATCTGACTTTAGCCTGATGTTGTCCTAACAGATTTATTAACTCTTGTAAACTACTTTTGTTATGATGAACTGCTTGTTTTAGAATGCAGAAGAGCTGCAAGTTGCCAAAAACTGGTATACAGTGTTCAGAGGAAGATCTTGGAGTCTGTCAACTTCTGTTTTTTAACCTGTATCTTTATATACTTTTTAAATGTAAAAAATTAGTTTTGTTTAAAATAATTCTATTTAATGTCCAGTAAAACAAAATAAATTTGTGAATAACAAGGCGGTTGTTAATATGGGGCTCATCTGACAAAAAAGAAAAAACTACATATAGTGGTTTACTTACCTTGCTTACCAATTAGCTGAAATAAACTATTGGAAAGCAGTAAGTCTGAAGGCTTATAACATTCAAAACTAGGTTTGATGCCCATGGTGGGCATGCATATATAACCATTTGTGTAGCTTTGTGCTTAACAACAAACTTTATCAAAAATAGTTGTAATATTACCACAAACCATTTATTTAAAGTACATTTTTAAATGTAATAATTTCTACAGTAATTTTATTTTGTTCTCTTTTATTAGATGGCTGAACTCATTTGGTTATTCTACATCTCCAAGATTGTGGAATTGATGGACACTGTAAGTCATTTCATTATTGAAATTCATTGTTACTAATAACAATTTTAAGGGGGATAAAATATCTATGTTTGCATCAAAAATCAAAACAACCCCAATTAGAACCACTTTCCTCTTTGCTTAGCATAATGTGTGAATCATTCCTTTCTCAAGACCTCCAACAATACAGTGAAAGTGCCATAACGTTTCAATTTTATATGCCAAAGCTGATGTTAAGTTCTAGGAAATACTTGACAAATAGCACGTACAGTGAGTTTTACACTTTGTCATGTGCATATAGCATACACATTCACTTAGTAGTAATCTGTTCATGATGTTTGGAAAGTGCCAGCCTGCGTCTGCAGTGCAGCCAACCAGACTAGACTACATACGTACAACACATGCACTGCACGTTAACATTGAGCCAAGGACTAACCACGTGACCATTTTTACTTCTATATAGTTTTAATGCTATAACTTTTAATACATTAAGTGTATGTTCATAATATTTGGCAGACTTTTAGTTAACATTACAAGTTGATTTTACACAAAAAATCATTTTTTTAAATGAAGTGTTTTTACTAAAGATTTGCCCGTGAATATATCGAATCTTTATTTACCAGTCTGAGTGCAAAGTGATTTTCATGTCAAGATAAAAATACTTTTCTTCATCTTAAATGTCGTTTGTGTAATCTCTAAAACATCCTTAATACATTTCAAACTTTTTTTTTAAGTAAAACTTTATATTTTATCTGTTATTTTCTCTACCATAATTCTGTACACGGTTGGTCAATTTGACTGAGATCATAACCACCAAAAAAAAATTTAAATGAATCTAAATTACCCCTTTTTTTCTTTCTAGAATGACTTCTAATTGTAACGTGAAACTACATTTTTTTATTCTAAGTAGCTT